TCAAGGTTTGTGGCAAACTGATATAATTGATTATAAGTCGTTTTTGACTCATGCTTTAAATTTTCCTCAATTTGTATTGCAGCTGATTCGTTTTCAAATTTCGATGTATTCATAGTTACTAATGTGCCTAATTCACATAGAATTGCGTGCTTTTAAGGAAATGTGGATATCATGGTGGTTATTGATATTGTGCAGATTATATTCAAATACTAATTTAATCTACCACAATACCTATATCTACCTAATAATCAAATGACAACTTTTTTACAATAGCCTTTTTCTTAGTTTAATACAAATTGGTTTAACATAAATTGTAGATGCCCTAATTGATTTGATACATATAACTAACTAATTGAAATTAATTATCCTGTATTTAAAATTATTTTCTACAAAGTTTAAAATTATATTTTTGTTATTTATAATAATTTTATTGTTCAATTTAAATTATACATCACTTAGAACGGTAAAAAAATTTTGATAAAAATTTTTAATAGAATTATTGGTTATATAAATAAAGTGTAAAGAGTATCTAATTTTTTTTTAAAATACTATATATCACAAGCAATGTCTACTTTGAAAACTTACAAAAGGTCAAATAATGCTGAAGTTGAATTTGATAATGCAAAAAATCAATATCTTGCTGCAATAGACAAATTATTTAAAGTTGCTTGCGCGTCTGATGATCATGCAAAAGCTTTTAAGATTCTTGAAAAAATTCAAGATGAAGGTGACAATCGGACTAAAGGTTCAATAAAATTTAAATTAGGAATACTCTTACTTGGCGGTTTTGGCTGCACAAAAAATATCAATGAAGCACAAAAATTAATTAAAGAAGCCTCTAAACATGGTCATACTCATGCTAGTGTTTGGGTTAAAACTTATAATTCATCTGCTGATTTTGGTGCAAGTGTGGTTATTAAAGACAAGATGGTGTAAAATATCAATCTATTTTCACGTGACTGTTTGGAGCAAACCAAAGTTAATTTCTGAATTTTATTAATGATAATAAATAAAAATTAGAAAAATTTCTTATTATCTAAAAAATGTTTTCTTTCTAAAAAAACGTAAAAATCAGAACAGGTTTAAGAAACATTCAGATGAATTGAATCGACCAACTAAATAGCTAAAAGATTCAACTATTCAACTATAATTAATTAATTAGCATAAATTCTTAATGTAAGTTAATGTTGGCTGTTATCTGGCAGCCTTTCCAATATCAGTATTTTAATAATACTGTAGTTAATGAATTAATTACAAATGAGTGTTGGGCAGGAAAAACCGTATATCTATTTTTAGATATATGGTTTTCTTAAAATTCTTCGTTGCATAAATCTTATCATTTTTTAAAATCCAAATACAACACATAAAATATTTTTAGATCGAGCAGATTTATGCACTACCTTCCTGACGCTCAATGCACTATATCATGTTAATTGGTCATAACACTAAGCATTTGTGCATTGTTGTATTTGTATTATTGATAAAATGATTGAAATTTATTTTAAATTACAATTGTTAAATTGATTTTTTCAATTAAAAAAAAGTAAAGAACCAAATTTTAATCTTTATTGATCTGTTCTCTCAAGGACAATTACAAGAAGTTTTATTGGAATATTCGTATCATGTCTTTATGCAGAGGATTGCGGAAGCATTCTTTCAGATAATCGATTACGTATTGGATTTATTGTAGTCATAAAGATAATAATTAAAAGTTTAATTACACAAGCATTTTGCTCATTTAATCGATTTCAAACTCGTTTTGACATCAGTAATAAGTCGAGTTTGGGCTTCAAACATCCCTAATCAAGATAACTTAGATAATAGGATTTTCACGTGCCTTTTCATACCATAACAAAAAAAATATAAATCACTGTTCGAAAGTTGCTAAAATTTCTTTTTTTCTTAAAAAATAAGCTTTAACTTCGTCGAGTATTATTAATATCAAATTTTTGAACCTATTCAAAATTTTTTCTCAGTCAAGAAATAATGTATAAATATTAGAACATTTGGACACGCGTGATATAGAAATATTTAGTTGGATATTTTTGCATAGAATTCGAGTAACCTAAATGGGTAAAAAAAATTTAGCACTTTAAGAAAATGTTTTCACTAGGGCACCTATTCTGTGGTCTGTAGTATGATCCCTGCGCTTAATATTTATCAATGTTTTAGCCAATCCTGTATTGATGTTAATATTCTTTAATGTCACATGAAATTTTACTGTATTATTTACTCTTTTTCTATCGCTAATATTATTTATAAAGTCCTTATGCATTATATTGTTGATTTCAATCAATAAAATTGATTGAAATTTATTATAATTATATTTATAAATTAAAATTGTTAAATTGATTTTTTCAATTAAAAAAAAGGTAAAGAAACAAAATTTAATGTTAATAGTTTCTCCTTCAACTTAACCATTCCTCGACTATCAAAAAATGGGTGACTTCAAAGAGATTTTTAGACCTTTTATTAATCTTTTTTCCCATGAACAATTACAAGCAGTCTTACTAGCATGGCTCCCTTCAAAACTCGAGCCATATTTCTCTAGAATAATCGCTGTGGATATGTTTATGACTACATTAATATCAACTGCAATAACTACATTGATCTATGCTTCTTGTTTCTTGCTACAGATGTTTTAGTTCAGAAGTTCATTAACAGTGCAAATTGAATATTATGTTAAAGGTAGATTGAGTATAATTTTCTCTACAATAAAGCCTTTTAAATCTCAAAAGCACTAAATTTTTAGGTATTTACGGTAAGGAAAAAAATCTATTATATGAAGCTTTATCGTGGATCATCTCACAACAAACAAAAGAATTAGATAATGGTGCATTTATTGTTCAACCTGCTAATAATAAAAAGTATGAAAGATATGAAACGCCAGTTTTTAATATTTTGCCCGAAAAGAAACAACAAATTAATATAGAGTACAGAGGTCGTAAATTCAATGTCGTGTATAAATTGCAAGAAAATGACAACAATAATAATCAAAGTTATCCTCAACCTCAATCATACTATTATAAAGAACCAGATCTAGTGCCTTCTATTTTTTTATCAGTTATTAATAATGACTCAAGTTCAAATAACAAACTTGCATTAATGCAATTACTGAATTCATTAGTGAAGTAACGAGTTCTTATTTTAGAACGAAAGAAAAAAACCACAAGCGTGCTCGATATAAGCATAATGAAGGAAATTGGAACAGAGTTCAACTTTTATCAGACTTGAATAGTTTGAAAACCGTTGTATTAGATGAACTACAAGAAATATTATTGAAAAGAGAATTAGACTCTTTTGTTAATGACAAAAAGTTTTACAAGAGAATTGGTTTGCCTTATCGACGTGGTTTTCTTTTATATGATAAACCCGGAACTGGAAAAACTACATTAATAAATGCCATATCATCTTATTTGTCACGAGATCTCTATTATCTTAATCTCAAAGAAATTAAAAATGATAATGATATGAGTGCCGCTTTTAGTTTTGTTCCACCAAATCAAATAATTGTTTTTGAAGATGTTGATACACAATTAAATATTCTTTATAAAAGAGGTGTTAGTCACCCAAATTATTATAACTTTATATCTGAAGATTTTATAAAAGAAAATGATGATCTATCAAAATATAAGGATTTATTTTCATTTATTAGTTTATCTAATTTTCTTAGATGTTTGGATGGGCAAATATTATCAGAAGGCACGATAATTATCATGACAACTAATCATATTGAACATCTTGATCCCGCATGATAATAGTGATAAAAAAGATTTAACGTTAATGCATTTCTATTGATCCGATCTATAAAACTTATTCTATTTCTTATTTTAGCATTCACCCTGGTCACATGGATGTGCATTTGAACCTTGAATATTGTACGCATTATCAAATTAGCAAGATGTATCAGAATGTTACTAATAAGAATTTTCCGAAAGATATCTTGATAAAAATTCTGGAATACTTGTTACCCCCTTGTGATGTGATAATAACAATGATATCGTATAGAAATAATTATCAGCTTATACCAGATAAGATTCTTGAACTGGTTAAAAAATATAAACTTAGTGATTAACAACTTTTTAATTTAAATACTGTGGAAAATTAATTCAAATACCAATATAAGTACAGTACAATATAACACAAAAAAATAGAAATTTGTAACAAATATAATAACTGATAATAAGGGTTTCATAATTAATTTAAAAGATCCTATTTCTATTTTAAAATTTCGACATGTGTGGGTTAAATATAATGATGCCTGACGAAACTCATATAACCTGATGAAACTATATAGTTTCGTCATTTCGTTAATGACGAAACTTATGGTTTCATCAATTCGTCAATAGCCAAAATAGTTTCGTCAAGCATCTATAGTTAAATAGGTGTACACGTTAATAAAATAGCCTTTTTTTGATAAATATTTACTGGTAAAAGATTATGTAAATAAGTTTATACATTAAAAATAGGATTTATGTATCACATATTTTGAAATAAATAAGTCACTTATTGTATCTGAAATCGGATGCCAAATCATTAATGAAACACTAATATCACTATTTGGATTGCTACCGCAATCAGCCAAAGATCATGCTCAATCCAACGATTCAAATACTTGCTAAAACTTAATAAAAGATATTCTACTTTAACATTAAGTATAATGCTAAATAATCTCCATTTGATCTTGCAATTTTTTGCATTAGTAACAAGGAAAATGATAACCACAACGAATTTTTTTTTACGACAAGCATACGAAATAGATTAGATAATAAAACAGTAAGAATAACAATGTGCTTAAAATCGTGGTGGAAGGAATTCAGAATTAAACTTTTACGTTGTAATAAATATTTTATTAAATAAATATCAAAGATAATAAATCACAATATATTAATTTTATTTCCAAAGATTCTGAAGAATGCATAATCGATGAAATAATTGGTAAGATTGAACAAAAAATTCATGCAATAAATGAGAAGGTTTTTTAACCAATAATAAATTGTCAAAAATTGTTTTTATAGTTTTCTCCATTAGTTTGTGCCTAGATGGAAAAATAAATAAAAATTTCTCTATTAATTTTTTTAACAAACAGCAAAAAAAATTTTCAATTGTTTATTAAATTGATTAAGAATAATTGATAAGTCCTAATTAATTAGAATTTAGACATTCTTAAGGCAACAATATGCATTAATTTATAACGCCGCAGAATTAAATTAAAAAAATTTAATTCAAAACCATAAATTTATTAAATTTAGTTAGCACATTTCAAAAGGCATTTTAATAGCAGTCTTTGACTGCATCCAATGATCCCAAATTTTGCGTTTTTGTAGTATTTATTTAAAAAAATTTTTATAATTTGAAATATAATTTCTTTACAATAAAGTTTGCACTTATTTATTAGGTAAGCAATTTCTATTTGAACACTAGTGTATAAAACACGGGTATATTGATATCTTAAAATCCTAATAATAAAACAGCTTTTGAACTATAATTTTATCTTATATTGATCTGTTAAATTAATAATTAATGAATACCTGTGTATATAACACCCATGTAAGCTTATAATTAGAAATTTCTATTAGATGTGAAGAGTCACTAATTATTAAAATTTTTCAAGATCAGATATTGTATTTTTAAATAAAAAATGTTAAATTAAAATTCAAACACTTGAAATTAACAAGGTAACAAATTTATTAATAAAAAAAGTAGTAAATTAAATTAAAAATTCAATTTTATAAGAGATCAAATAATATTTAAGAAGCGTACAAGTCCATGTAGTTTTTTAATAATTATTAATATAATTAAACCAAAATTTTGTTAAAAGTTATTAAAAAAAACTGGATCTATTTCAGTGTAGAGCTAGTCTAGAACTGCAGTTTAAAAAAAAAATGATACAATTTATCTGTTGGTTGTGTAGAAAAATGTACTTAAATTAGTGCAAATTCATATGTAAAATTCATATGTAAAATAACCCTTTAAAAAATCTGAACTTAATGATCATATGGGATCTTTGCTAGCAAAAGGACTACGAGCCATTGTTACACAAGATTTTTATAAAGAAAAACATAATAAATCTATTTTTAGAAAAAAAAAATCCTAGCAAAGATCCCATATATATGTTTTGATTAATTAGTTTACAAAGACATTGTTATCGTTATTGAT